CCATTGCAAGCCTCAAACCACAACAGTAACTATGGTAAGCATCAACTTTAATTTCTGCTTCAAGAAGAAATTGGTTAAATATCTCCTAGGTGATGTTTTCACTTTAACTTCTGTCTAAGCAATATGACCTCTAAAGCAGAGACCTCCACAACTTGTGCAATTTTACCCTTTTAGACTTTGGGAATCTGTCCTGGCAGACATAGTAGTTTGCTTTACACTAGGATTGTGGGCAATATGGATCTCACGTGCCTTTAGATTCATAATGGAGTGCTCTCTCTAGGCTAGTGGAATTTTTTTTGGGGGGGCGGGGGAGGGTGCATTTTAAAAATAATATTGCTTGCCTTACATAGTTGTGAGACTTGATGTGCCACATGATAAAATGTTGGAAAAGAAAGGTACTGTCACGCAGCACAGATCTCGAAGCACCACCTTTTGAGCTTGTTTAGAACTGGACAAAAGTTTGTTTTTCATATTAGGAAGGTATGTGCTAAGTATTGAAAGAATAGTAAAAATCCTACAGGCTGCCAGCCATGACTTACTGTATCAGTCTGTCTGGTGGTACTGAGCCCACCTGCCACAGAAACTATACAGCCTGACTTCTGTAAGCCTGCAGTTAGGTTGCTTAGGGTTTATAAATTCAGAAGCATCATTCATCTGATGTTCTTGGCCATGTAGAGTAGATAACAGCTGTGATGTTCTGAGCCATGCGTTAGAGCAAATGTTTGAGAGAAGCTCTGAGTGGTGTCCTCAGCAAAGCTGCTGCTGATCTGGGAGTTCACAGGGTTATTAGCACCTGGGGTAGGAGGGCTGCAACTCTGTAACATGTGTTCTGCACTCAAGTGTACAGTAAAACAGATACTGGTATGAAACTGAGCAATGCCAATTTGAAGCAACTGCTGTGATCTTGGACTGGTATGAGGTTATGCCAAATAAAAGCGTTTTCCTCTTCTCAAACTGAATAAATATCCGGCCCACCATAACTATCCAAGCAAAAACAATTGTTGCGTTTCTTTTCTCCGTTCTGTTTTCTTTGAGTCCACACAGCTACAGCTCAGAGTTGAGGGTGGTGGAGGGGGACAGCACTTCTTTAGGTGACCTTTGACCTTTACTTCTGATACAATGGCAGCAGAGAAACATCCACTGTTCTTCAGTGGATACGCGTGGGCTTTAGTCTAAATGATGCCCACGCTGCTGCAAGCAAGGAAATGTTTTACTAAATTGCAAGAGCAAATCTTGTTATGACTGCTGTAAACTTGCAAAAGGATATAAAAGCAAGGGAGAAGTTATTAGTTAATCCTCTAATTCCAGTGTGGGTCTGTCAGTAGCTAGTTTAAGCCCTTTACAATACCTATAGGGGTCATCAGATCAGTTGCTCTGATAAGGGTTCTAATTTTCTAGTCTTTTGAAGAACTCGGTTCCAGTAATCTTCCCTTTCTTCTCCCTTTCCTTCCCTCCCTGAAAGTCATCACATTCCAGTTTCCTAGATGAAAGGATATTACCAGAATGGTTGCACAACTCCTGTGCAAGAACAATTGGCAGGGTGGTGTCTGAGCTGGCGTTTTTTGCATGGCCTTAAAAATGAAGCTGCATACTGCCAAGAAGGCAGAATCCAAAGGCAGCTGCTAGAGGATTCTGCAGTCCTAGCAGTCTTTGTAGGCCTGCAGTTAAGCATATGTGGACAGAGCTCTGAGCTTCAGAATGTTCAGACTGTGAATGGATTCTGAGGTCCTGTCTGAACGCTCAGCCACTGCTCGGGTTCAGGTGGGATTAACAGTGGTACCTAGTCAATGCTTCCCTCAGGCACAGCTTGGTTTGTCTTTGTGGTCCCAAAAAACATGGTAAAACTGTAGTTGCAGTTAGCAGCCTGCTGCATTAGTGTGTACCAGTGGGGCTGAACCAGGACATATTAACAGAGCTGAACACTGTGTATGCTTGTTGCATAATATTGCCAACCCTATTCAGTTAGCATATGGCATCGTTCTTCAAGAAGTGCCAGATTTTATAGTGGAATAGGAAACTAAATGTGTTGAGGTGCGAAGGAGAGTAACTGCACCAGGATGCAGGGACAAAAGAAAGCAGAGGGTGAGGAACTTGTGCCCAGTTCTTTGTTTGATTCCTGATGCTTTGCTTCACCCCAACTATAGTTGTCTTCAGAAGATAACTACAGATGGTGGGTAGTGAGAAGAGACTACTGAATATGTTGCCCAGTTTTTAGTAATATTGTTGCAGCCATGGTGACAAGTTTTGAGAGAGGTAATAGTTTCACTAAATTGATGATTCAGGAATGAAATAAAAGCTGACAGGCTATTGAGACCCACAGATGAAGAAAGCAAGTGTCTTATAAAGCTGTTAATTGCTGTGGTAGGTGGTAGGTGGTTACATCTCTGTAGAGAGCTGAAAGACTTGCATGTGAAACTTGTTTACATCTCAAAGCACTCTTCAATCTGTAAGGACTAGAATCATAAACTTTTTATGGGACAGAGATTAAGGAAGCCTGTGAAGCAGTTGCCAAGTACAAATTAAGGTTGCTCTTTAATCTTTAGTTTGGAAGGCTCCCAAGAGTTTGGAAAAGTGTGTGAATATGTAGAGGGGAGAATGATAAAGGTGCTAAAGTTCCTTCTGCTTTAAGACTGTAAAGCACTGTGCTTTATGGGAATGTGGAGAAAGTGTACGTATAGGAGAGGCTGCATTCCTGGTTGTGGCAGAGCAGTTGTAGCCAGCTATGTTTGTTACATTTCTACCCTCAGTAGTGAAATCTGCTGTGCATTTTGGTGAGTTTGTACGTCACTGACTTGACCTATGGTCAAAAGTTGTGTGTTTCTGTACAGGAGATGTTCAGATGCAGCTTTCTCAGAAGGTACCATAGTAGCTTTTTACTCTATGTAGGTTGCTCTGGACACTTGTAGTTTTATCAGTTGTCTCAATGTTACAAATGCAAGTAGTGGCTTGTGTTTCTTTTTATTTTGTTGTGGAGTTAATGTTTTTTTCAGCTGCACTTTGCAGTCTGGGGTGTTTAAAATAAGCAAATAACTGGTCTGAAAACATGAGAGAGAGCTGCATTTCCACGAGAGGATCTATCTGATGTAAGCCAATTAAAAAAGTTTAATAAGCACAAGATGACTTTGTGTTTTACTGAAATCTTACTGCTTTTTGGGGAAAAGGAATTAAGCTTCTGCAGAAACTCAGGGAGAAAAGATTAAGGAATAATGTTGTTAATGGAGAAGAGAATTCTTAAACGGCAGTAAATGCTGGTAAAAATACCATCTCCTACCCACTAATATAATAGGCCAAGTTTTGCAAACTTAACAGGTTTCATCCTTTTTTTCTCATGATTTGCCTTTGATGGGATTTTGCCTTTGATACCATGTTTGTGGGTGGAATGTCTGATACTCTTGGCTGCAAATCCCATACATGTTCTTAAAATTGCATTTGTTCTGGCCTGGAGCAGAGTTATGTGGGTTTTGGTTGTTAGTTTGAGACCTGGCATTACTTTTGGTTACTCACCTTATGTTATCTACAAATTTAAAGGAAGATTATTAATATGTAGCAGTTGACTTCACTGTGTGGCATAGGTCTGCAGTCCTGCAGATCTAATACTTTGGTATGTGAGTTGCCCATCTGGGGAAGGCAGTGTTTGGATAATCAGTTATCCAAAAATACACTGTGGATCAGAGACAAATAATTTTACATGTTACTTATTGGTGTCATCAATGTCATAGTGATTAATCTCCTAAACACATTAGAGTATTAGTTGATCAGAAATGTGGATCTTCTTCTGGGCAACATGGAAACATAGTACACTGTGCTAGGCTAGAATTTATCTGATAAATAGGTTGTCCTATGCATATCTGAATATCTAGAATACTTAAATTATACTAGCTGTCTAACGGCCTGTATGCTGATTTTGACAAATGTCAAAAGAATCCATGCAGAATTGGCTGGATACATGAACAATTGGCAGCTACTGCTTGTGTGAAGTGAGCTGGATTATCAGAGGTAATTGGTTTAAATTAAACCCAGCTCATTTTAACTGAAAAAGGTTAGGGAGCAGCAACATGATCAGTTCAGCAATCAGATGTAAGGAGGAAAATAGTAATTTTCATTAGGACAGACAAGCGGGATAAACCGTGGCAAACAACTCCAGCTGATTCAGTAGGTTTCCATTAATTACTCCAAGTCTAAATGTGCTCTTCTTCAGGACGCAGTTTCCAGTGAATTTTGAGCAAATTCTGAATCTTGTTTAAAAGCAGGTAGCTGTCTTGTTTTGTCAGGTACCTCTTAGTTAAAAACCTGATATGGAAAAACTAGGGAGTGCTTGGACTTGGTGGTTATGTCTGTCTTAGTCCATTCAGCTACAGCCTTGTCAAAAAATGAGTGATTACTCTTGATTGCACAAGAGAGAAGAAACTGTGAGTTGTAGCTTGCATTTAATTTCAGCACTTCCATAAGCACATGCAGTACATTTAATAGTTTGCACTTGAACTAGAGGTGTTGTGTTGCAGTTACACATGTGACTTACAACTATTGTATTCAAGGTCTTACCTTAATTTGTTTACTAGGGAAAGCACGTGTGCAGCAACTAGCAGAGAACACAAGGTACTTCAGGAGACGACTGAAAGAGATGGGCTTTATCATCTATGGAAATGAAGATTCCCCTGTTGTGCCTCTGATGCTGTACATGCCAGCAAAAATTGGGTAGGTTTAACAGGATAACTTCTCGTCCATCTTCTTTAAAGCTAGGTTGGTACAGAAATATTAAGACTTTTCTAAATATAAGAAAAGACTGGTTTGATTTTTCTTTTATGGTCATTACTGAGTCTTCCAGAACATGAAAACATCCTGTAAGTGATCTTGGGAAAATCAAGACTTGTAGCTTAAGGCAGCAAGAAAGCACTTCAGGAAAGCAATTTTACCAACACATGCAATGTTTTAAAAGTTGGGGGTGGTTTGTTTTGGATTGTTTGTGTGTTGTGGGGGTTTTTTGTTTTTGTTTTTCATTTTATTTATGTGTAAAGTGTGTATATGTACTAAGGTGAAGCTGATATTGAATGGAAATTTACATTAAAATTAATTGGAGAATTCTTTCAACCAGCTCATGGACCAGAAGCAGGTAACATTTCTACAGATGAACTTTGAAAATTTAAAAAATAAAATAAAATAATAATTAAAAAAAACACCCAGGGGAGCAGGACATGATGGGACACAACCACCTGTATTTAATGAATCCAGTTTTTTTAGGAGATCTTGATTTAATAGCTCAGGTATTGTTATTGTAAATACATAGCTTTATAAATGCTTATGGACTTGTGGGCTGCAGTGTTGGTAATTGAGGCTAAAATTCTGCAAGCAGGATGCAATGTGCATATTAAAAATTTTTGCAACATAAAAGCCTGATTTCAAGGACAAGTTGGCTTTACTAATTAAAAAATAGTGTCCATGTTTTTCAGTGTCCATGTTTATTCCAGTGCTCAACCAACACTTTCAATTTTGGGAAGCATAGCTTCATTTTAAGCCGTACTAAACATCTGTTGTGCTCTTCTAGCTCCGTGAGGCTTCAGTCTGGTTAAATATTGTGATTCTGTGAGGGAACTGACATCTTCTACCACTCTGCATAAAGCTAGATACAGTCTTCCTCCACCCTCCTCAGTATAATGACATTTAAAAGGCCTGTAACCTTTATGGGTGCTGTAGAGTCTGCAGTGTGCACCACCCAGCACACAGAGGCACACTGTTTCTACTGCCCAACTGCTCTACCAGTCAGTGTGACTTTTTTTCCCTGGAAGCACTCATGGAAATATCTATTAGCTGAGCAGCTGGGCCAGTAACGTACTTCAAAATGATCCAGAACACAGCTCTGATGAGAACTGGCCATTGGGATCTGCATCAGGTCTGCTTCATCCTTTCTTTGTCTCTTGTAGCCTGTTTTTAAAATCGTTTGAGTGTACTCAATGGATACAAATTGAAATGTGTCAGGATACACCTGCTTATAAGAAAAACAGTTGTAGCAGAAGGAAAAGGCCGAAAATTTTAAAAACTAGTAGAAGGATATTGGTTTTATACATCCTTATAAGCCTCTTAACTTCATCACTGCTTCTCAAGACAAGGTCAGTTCAAAAAGGATTAACCACTTCCTGTGGCCTGTAGAAACATCCATGATTGCACTGCTGTTATGGAAAGGATCTAGATCTGTATGCCCCTCATCACATATGTCACAGCCACTAATTTCTTTAATCCCCTGAAGAGTTTGTTTTGTTGAAGATACTGTGTGACAACTGTAGGAGGCGTTTGCCCCTTCCTTAGAAATGTTTGGTATCAGATTACATGATCTCAATTTACGGTGGCAGTTCAATGGTTCCCATAATAGGCACTTAAAAAGTAGTACACTTTTTTTTATTCTGAGTCACCATAATGTACTTTAATTGAATTAAATCGGTGAAAACAAAGAGGCAGAAGCAGCTCCATTGGGGGATTGCAGCATGGGAGATTTCTTGTATAGTCAAACTTTTGAGCCATAATCCCAGTTTCTTATTGGTAAGATTTCCAATCTTAGGCTACAAATCCATTTAGAAACAGCCTGCTGAAAAAACAGCCTCTGCCACATGTAATCTTCCAGCTTTGTTAGAATCGAATACAGTGAAACATTTTGATAAGGACCACCTTGGGACTGAATTTAAAAAAGCCTTTTGTGAACAGGCATTCTGCCCCTAAAAGGAAGCACTGGAAGCCCCAAATTGTGGTCTTACAGTCTTGCTTTGGTAAAGGCCTGTGTGGCTTAACATATCCAGAGACCTTCATGCTGCTGCTTTGTCTCCACTGGTACCATTTGGATCATCTTTCCTGTTGTCCCTGGCAGGGCGTTTGGGCGTGAGATGCTGAAGCGGAACATCGGGGTCGTGGTCGTGGGCTTCCCTGCCACCCCCATCATCGAGTCCAGAGCCAGATTCTGTTTGTCTGCAGCTCATACCAAAGAGATGCTCGATACAGTAAGTGTCTCATCTTGTCTTCCTTTTGCTCATGCCTTCTATAAATAGATACAACTATTGTCTATTTTTTGTAGACTGGTTCAATGTTTGGTACACAAACTAGTTGAACCTAATGTTCAAAGCTTTGTGTAGTACATCTGACAATGACTCCATCTCTTTTTCCTTGCTTCAGCAAGGCAGAATGGCTGCTTACAGTAAATCTCAGGGACTTTCCTTTTTTATTTTAAATCATGTGAGAGTCTCATTCTTTTGAGACAATGGTTTTCCCCTCTTAAAAGGCTCTACCTTTCCCTGAATCTTTGAGAAGGAAAAAATTATGCTAGATGCAGAAGGTAAGGGGGGGGGAAGCCTGAGAATCTCAGAAACATCTATATTCTTCTCAAAAGCAGGTGCAAACATCAGCACATCATTACCAATGAGAATTTTTATTCCCAAGATTACTCTTCCAGTTCTTGTTTACAGCTTCAGAGCACTCTATCTTAAATGATCCTGTCCTAGATGAGTCTGTGCCACGTGCAATGCTCTGCTGACTCCTGCCTGCCCTAAGTGTGTTCCAGTGGGAAGGAGGTCCCTTCTAAGGAGGCCTGTGTCACAGTTAGGAGATGCTGCCTTAAAAATTAAGGATGGAAGTTACTGTCCGACTGATGTAGTTAAAGTAAATAAGCCTGACTACCCTTATTATATTTTGGCATTATAACTGCATTCATTTTTGCATCTTCTGAATAATGTTCCTTGGTGGACATGTACATGGGCTGTCTTAGGCTATGTCAAAGTTATCCACCGTATTTTTCTCCCCACTTTGCTCTTCTGTAACCCAGGACCTAAGCTAGGTTGAGTCATGACCTTGGACTTCAGTTATGAAGGGGAAATCATGCTCAGGGTCCAGCTATGATCAGGTGGCAACACTTCAATAAATGAACAGCAAATGGGACATATAAACAGATATTTACTAATGTCTTGTAAAAAAAAAAAAAAAAAAAAAAAAAATAATTCAAACTTTTCACACTCCACTACCACAGAACTTTCACATCAACAGCTGAAAACTGCTATTTTTATTTCAGTTTTGGTGGGAAAAATGGTAAGGTAGTGGTGTGTGCAGTTTGTTAATGTATATTTAGGGTTGTTGTGTATCAGTTAACCTGCTACGTGTCTGTGGTGCTGTATATGGTGTTCTGAGTTATTTCTGCCTTGTAAGAACTGAGAGATTCTGCCCCTGCACTCCAACAGCAAACTGTTGAAGGAGTTCCTTCCCAGCTATTTGTCCTGCTACTCTTCCTGTAATTATCCCAGTTCTGTTGTTTCTGTTCCAAATAAGAGTTCTGAAACAGTGTTTGGGAGAAGGCCCTCTCCTTCCCTTCAGTTCCCCCTTATATAAAATTAACAGGGTCACGGACTTGGCTCAGAGCATAGAAGTAGAACTGAGTGCATTGACACAAATGAGGGAGCAATGCTGTCTGGCCAGGTGGACATGGGAAGATGAGTGGGAATGAGGTGGGAGGAAGGAAAAGAAAGAAAACTGAAGTCTGTGAAATCATAGTGCTGCAGACTGAAATACAGTTGAAAACTGTGAAAGCTTGATGTGCTGGCACTGCCTGAGCAATCATGCAGTCTTGGTGTCACTTAGACTCAGCATCTCTTCTCTTAGTGACTAGCCAGAGTCTTTACCATATAAGCTGGTTTTGCAGGGTCTATGTAAGTACTATACTTGTGCTTTTCCAAAACCGATCTGTAACTTTTATTACTCTGCTTCAGAAACTCTTTTCCTGTCAACTTGCTTTCAAGTCTTTGTGCTTCACAGAGAATGTTTCACGTTTTGTGCATTTTAACTCTGAAGATTCATTTCTAGAATGCTTCTGTAGGTGCTCACTCTTCTAAACTGAGGAAATGATTGTTTAATGTATTTGGGCTTGTTTGCCTAAGAAAATTAATCCAGGACAAAATGAGGTGTGAATTTTGAAATGAATGAAGAAATCCTGATGTAGCTCAGTATGTGGAGGCTTTGTTCCAAGTTGGTGGAATTCACTTCAAGGTTCAAAACAGCTGCACGCTCTGAACCAAGAAATTGGCAAGAGGAGTTAATAGGAAGCAAGTCTTTGTGTCAGTGACATTGTGTTGTTTTCTTGTGATACAGTCAAAGGGGCAATAGTTTCAAGTAGCTAATTGTTAAGGCAACCCTCAGATTTGATCCCTCTGCTGAACTGTGGCAACAATATCTAGGAGGAGAAAGAACTGAAATTAGTAGACTTGGAGAGAGGTGGCAGAGAGCTTCTTCAAGTCAGTGACAGAGAGGAGAACTTGGTAGCCTATATGTATGTGTGCATGGATGCTAACTAGGGCTGCTATGGCATTTGTTTTTTCTAAAAATTTATCCAGGTTTGGAGCACAGGGAAGAGAAGCTTGTCTTGTAAATGCTGATATTTGTAATGATTCCTTGCTCTCATTAAATAAGCCCACATGATGGGGAACAGTTCTCAGTTACAATTTTAACTGTTTTATGTAAATAGAACTTCCTTGCCTGGAAATATTTGGCTCAGGATCAGAGTGAAGTCCCTCATAACCTGCATCCCTGTGGGCTGGTGCTTTCTTTTCAGTGATGAAAAATATATTGCACTCTCCTGAAGTCAGCATTCACCAATGCCATTTCCTTTGTAGTCTTTGCTGGTCACATGGTCCTTTTTGTTTCAAATTAATAAAATCCTAAATCTGCATTCAAGAATAACAGTTAACAGACTCTTTCAACAGGAATTCAACCTTAAATTGTTTCCATATGGGACCTTTACTTACAGCTCTGGCAAACTGTCCCCATGCTTTTGTTTTGTTTTGTTTTTACCGAGGTCCAACTTCTGGGTTTGTCATTCCCCCAGATTTTAGAGTGGAGAGGGTTTTGCTGCCAGATAAAACAAGCATGAGGGGCCATTGTTTAAAGAAACAAAACCTTGAACTATCCATCCAGGAAGGAAAAGCATGTAAGGATATTAACCCCCATCTGCCAGCTATTCTCAAGAGACAGGCATTTGACCCAGAACATGTTAAAATTGGAGCATTAATGTTGAATTAGTTGCATTCTGAAGGAACACCGAATACATCTATCTGAATAAATCTACAGTTGAAAGGAATGCAGAATGCCAGCCTTTGAGTTCAAAATTCACATTGGAAGTCATCTTCTGAACTCCTTTCTCTGCCACTTGCCTATATAAGGTAGTGAGCATCACACACTGTTGTAAATTTGTGTGCAGCAGCTGACCTATTTTGTACCTTGCTCCAAGCATTTTCTGTAGAGAAATTAATTGATTTTTAAGGTTTGGCTTTTAAGAAACACTGTTGTGAACCAGAGTCTTATCAAAGAGATTGCAACATAAAGTATGATTAACAGAGACGGGACTTTCCTTATTTCTTACACTAGCAGATGTTTGATCTCTGGTAAACTTCATTAACATTTGCATTCAGGTCAACAGTGAAAGGTTTCGTTAGCTCCCTAGCAGTATTCTGGGCCATCAGTTGGCTGAGTGTTGCCTTTGTTCACAACCTCAGTAAGTGGGACTTGCTTTCTAGGGAGAAAATGCTTGGGATACTACCCAGAATAATATTTTCTCATCTGTTGGTTTGGCTGACCAGGATCTCACGTGCAGCGTAGTTTATGGTACAAGGCTTGCATGTCTAGTCGTATGTGGACAATGCGAATTAGCCCAATGTGGGTGTAACAAATGCATCAGTGGAACCTGCTAGCACAATGTTGTGTTTTCCCTTTTGCGGTCTTACAATTTTAAAAATACTGTGGGTCAGAGATAATTTACTAACACATGTTTTTTTTTCATACTGAATCATACATAAAGAGGAGTCAAACCTCCACATATGGTTTTTTTTTCTGCTTCAGCTTTATTAGCTCTTGGGAGAAAGGAACATTGGTCTCATTTTTTCTGTCTATGAAAAGACATGGCTTTTTGGGAGGTGACTGCGAGTTTTGAGTGAATATTGCTGGATATTATCATCCTGCCTTAGAAGTGGAGTTAATCAGGTGTGTGCAGAGCAACTGTCAGTTCAGTGACCAGTGCTGCTCACTTGGTCTCAACACTTGTGAATGCTAAAATCAAAACCAAATCCTATGCACCTCTGAAGCTACAGACTTCTAGCACGGTAAAACCTCACTTAAATAAAATAGCTGTCAGAGTAGTCTGCAGGCATGCAAAAAGGAAGACGTGCTGATAACTTGCTTGTGTCTGTCTCCTCTGCTGATGTCCTGTGGTCTCTTTCTCAGGCTTTAAAAGAAATCGATGAAGTTGGAGACCTTTTGCAGCTGAAATATTCCCGTCACCGTTTGGTACCTCTCTTGGACCGGCCGTTTGACGAAACAACGTATGAAGAAACAGAAGACTGAACTCCCTCCACGTGCCTTGGTGGGAGGGACACACCCTGTGGGACACTCCGTGGCGTGCAGGCCACCACGTCCATGACAACACACTTATGACTGCTTAGCATAAAAGACATTTCCTCACAATACTGAAGTAGCCACATCAGCTCTAAATGGCATTTTGTAAATAGGGAGAGGAGAAAAAAAAGCTTTGATTCCTTTATCTTCGGGGTCTGGCCCTAGAGGTGCTTGGCTTTATATTTTTTTCTTGTTGCTTTTTTTTTTAATTTATTTTGTCTCGATGAGTTCACAGCAACCCAAGTGGGCTGTGGCTGATCAGCTCATACTTTGTATGCACCATTAGCCTCCCAAATGCTGGCTGAGATGTTGAGAGCATGTGTGACGCTGGCATGGCAGCACTTCCAGTGTCACTGCTAGGTGTCTGACCTTCCCAGTAAGGAGTGAGCTGACCTGTCTGTTCTTGGAGACTTCATAGAAAAACTGATTGCTAACTTTGACATATTTAACAAGGTGGATAATCAACCAAAGGTGTTTTTTTGTTTTGTTTTGGTTTTTTTTTTTTTTGGTTTCTTTTTTTTATCTTTTGCAGTTACTTGTGTTTAAAACTTGAATTAGCCTTTTTTAAATAAATGTGTTGTTGACATGTCACTGACAGGACCATTGTTACTAAACACCATTTAGTTTTCTAAGCCACAGGCAAGGAGGTCTTCTGGGAGTCTAGCCTCTCTTCCTTCCCAGTATGAACAGCAGCTTGTCTCCCAGTTTTGACACTAATTGTCCTCTTGCTATAGGGTAGGTGAAGGAGAGGGGTTTTGGTTTGGTTTGTTTGTTTTTTGTTTTGTTTTGTTTTGTTTTGTTTTTGAATGGACTGCGTTTGGTCTTCTTTCTGATGTGCATGTGTTCAAAGCAGAACAGAAAGGTGGGTTTAGTGTGCGCTGCTTTCTCATCTTCAGGTTAATTTCTCTCACTTTAGAATTATAAAACCATGAACAAGTCACCGCTGAGTTCTGGAAGGGTGCCCTTGTGATTAAATAAACCATAGCAAGCCTTCTTGTTAAGACCAGAACCTGTCAGTAGGCAGGCCTCTACAAGGGATGACTATTGGGAGAACCACTGATTTCATGCAAATCTGTGAAAGACTGGTTGTTACCCTTTGCCACACTAATCCAATGTTCTTGTCATATATGAGGTGCTTTCATTGCCCTTGTTGCACAAGGCTTTTATACAAAGAGTACAGACAGCCTGGATCTTGTCTCATACATGGCATTTTGGCTAGCCAGCCAAGTCTTGGCTGGCAGCTGTGTGTCTGTATAGGACTTCTCTGAAGAGAGAAGGTGCTCACAATTGCATTTAGTTTGAGATGTTTATTCTCTTGCATTTCATTTACTGTGAGATCAAATTAATGTTCACTGAGCCAGCTGCTGTTTGAAGTCATTGTTTGCAAGCTCCACACTGTCTTACTCGGGTCAAAGTTTAAAATTGACATCTTTGCTCTAGCACACCTTAGAGGCAATCTGCTGCTCAGCCATTGCATCTTGCATTCTTTCAGTGAACAGAATGGGTCATTGAAGAGGTACCAAAAATGTTAAAACTGGAGTCAGTTGCAGTGTGATCTGTTTCTGTATTTTATGCCTTGAACATGTAGAGTTTCTGCAGTTAGTAAAGCTTTAACGTTGTATTAGTTGAGTTGGATCAGTTCTTTAATTTGAGTTAGCATGATGCTTTTTGCAGGCAATTGTAGTTTTCTAAAGCAGAGTGCAGCTCAGAGCTATTTGCTGGGTGCTAAAAAAAAAATAATTTTTTTTAAATTTCTTTTGTGTTCATTATGCAATTAACAGGGAAGGAATGCTTTGGTCACTAGAACCAAGCAGTTCTGTAAAGACATCTGATGATTTAAAGCAGTTTCTTTTGGCTTCTATTTTATAGGATATCCTTCTTAATGTGTTTATAGATCTTGTTCCATTTTAATGTAATGGAATTTCAAAACTTGTTTTTTACCATTGCATTTCAGAAATTTAATTATATGAGGAGACCTAAAATTGACTGTTTCAAAACAGGTCCAGGTAACTATTTCTGTCTTTCCACTAGCGTTGATTTGCTCACCTTCTGGAGCAAAGGGTGTGCACAGTCCAAGAAGTCTGTAACATGTATGTGCAACTCTGATAACTATGGAGCACTCCCATTTGTTCATCCACAGAGTGAGTAAACTACTGTCTCACCTGTGTTCTGCCCAGGACCAGCCCTAACATTCCAGCAGATGACCTGCTTTCTGACTTCAGGAAGCTTTGCCTCAGAGAGTTATTGCTTTTTTTGTCTGTTGTAGGGAACAAGAGGAGGGTAGTGCAGGAAACCTTGACTCCAGCCCCTGTCCTATTGACTTGATCATGGAACAGTTTAAGATCAGACAAAACTGACCAACTTGACGATAAAGGCACAGGTCAATAGGGTGCTGTTTTGAGCATTCCTAGATGTACAGCATGGTTTTGTCTGCTGTGTAGTCAAGTCAGTTTGAAAACTGTGATATCAAGTTAGAAGTGGGTTATCGCAGATTCTACAAGTCTCAAGTCTTAATCTTGTCTCTGGAGTTCAGTTGTAGGGCAGCTTGTCTTTAGAAGGGAGAAAAACACCTGAGTAAATCTTAGTAATTCAGGTAACTCCTGTTTAACACTTCTGAAATGTCAGTGTTTGAAAATTACTGGTCCCCATGGGGATTCCAGTTTCACCGGTTCTTGAAACTGTTCATGCTAAATGTGTGCCACTTAGTATCTTTCTGCTGTGTCACACTGTCTGCGTGGGACTTTGAATTTTGGGTTGCAAAGATATTCCTGACTGCCAGAATGATTTCTGAAATACATGCAAACTGCCTGGTTACATTTCAGCCCTGCCATGTGGGTTTTGGGAAGCAACTTCTTCCTCTCCCGTGACACTGCCCTCCCCTCAGGAGACCTTTTATTCAATGGTACTTGTTTGCCAAAGTCTGGTACCTGTTGAAACAGTTTCTGAAAGAGTAGGAAGTTAAAACTCCAGAATTTTGCGCTTTTAAGTCAGTAATTCACTGAGCATGAAAGCCAGGAATATCTCTTCACTTCTACTAAAGGACTTCACTCCCACAACCAAAGGAGCAGACCGCTGCTGGTTTATACGAGGGAAAGCTACAGCGTGTGTGCTGTCACAGTGTGCGTAGGATGGATTGCTGCTTTGATGTGTATGTACTAGCCAGAAATGTCTCCTTTTTGGCCTGGCAGTAGAAGTGAATAAAAGAACCAATCTTGAGAGATAACAAAGGAAGAAAAGCTGCTTAAGAAACAGACTTCATTCCATGCCAACTTTTCTGAGACGTTATAATTGAAAATGACTCCTGGTATTTCTCAAGAGATGCAAAATTCAAAAGAAAATGAAGGCTGCTTTTGAACAAAGGATTTTGCCCTGTACTGTACATTGGCTAAACTTACTCATAAATATACAATAGTCACCTTACCCCGCTACCTCTCTGAAGAACTTAGCGAGCAAGATTTTGCCTCTGCTGAGCAGAGTTAGGAGTGTAGAACCATTATAGTTTTCAAGTCTGATGGCCATATTCTTCTACTCTTCAGAAAAATTAGAAGCTCCTGTTACTGAACATCAGCAAAGAGTAAGAGATCTGGTTTTTGTTAGAAACTGGCCTTCCTAAGAAGACCTTTGTCTTAAGGAGCCCAATTCATAATTTTTCTTCAGTGCTTTGGCAGACAAGAAACCAAGGGATTTTGTGTCAAAATATTCAGGGTTGGTTTTTTTTTTTCCACAAGACATGAACTTATGTATAGTATCTGTGTATATGGTATATTTGTTTAGTTTCTGTATGTTTTCCCTTCCAAGTAGCATTCTTAAAGAGCTGTTCTGTTTCTTGGGTTACTGGTGTAGCATGCTTCTGCTTTGGCAAAGACTCAGGAGCGAATTGACCAAACATCTTAGCATGATGAAGTCGTTCAGTGAAGCATCCTCCATTCTTCTCTGGCTGTTTCCTCTAAGAGAGCAGAAGTGGAACCCACTGTCAGAGCTGCACCTTCACACAGAGGAAAGGGAAGCATGCTTGTGAAATCAGTGGCCCAGCTCTGTGCTGTGTGGATGAAGGACAGACAGCAGAGGTGGAGGAAAGGGGCAGTCAGTCATCACTTACTCTCAGCTGTGCAGGGATCTTTCATGAGTACTTGAACAAGCATCCCTAAGACAGGAATGCAATTCTCAATGACCAGAGGGGCACTCCACTAAAACTTTTCCACACTAAGTAAATACTTCCTCTTCTTCTGTGCAAATTTTAGTTTCTTTACCTCTGAAAAGTATTTGGCTTACAGCTATTTGCTTGTCCAAAAGCCATGTTATCCGTTCAGGCAGATTGTAGGAAATGTTGGAGGCAAGCCATGAGCATGAGCTCTCCATTTCCTCCAAGAGAACGCCATGCAGCATTTGGTATGGCGTGGTATGTGTGAGCTGCGTAACAGAGGAGACTTTTAGAGATTTATACCAATATACGATGCTCAGCCAAAATTCTGGAGTTTATATACAGTTTACCGTTTATACATACAGTTTATGTATATTATTTTTACAGTTTATACTTATCCTGTGAAAGTGTGAAGGATGCTGTGATTGTGTGAGTGGCACCTTCTGCACAGATATCTGAGGTACCTTACCTGCTCTCTGTTCTGTTTTAACCCTAGTGAAGCATGCAGTGGTCTGGGAATGCCTAGTGTGGCCCCTGATCTGATGCATCACTGGCTTCAGGGCTGGACCTGGCACCCCAGTGGCATTGGAACACTGTTTGGGAAAAGCACCAGTTTGACCTGTGTAGCTTGCACATGATTTGGAAAGAAAGGAAAAACAAAGCAAACAAAAAACAAACAACAAAAAAATTCAGATACCATTGTGATGGTTTGTATTCCTGTAAATGTCCCCAGCCTTGCAGTTTTTCACCTGTTTGTAGATTTGGACCTGAATCTAGAGCACAACCATGAAGTGTTTGTATGGAGTGTTGTGCTTTATCTTTCACTAAAAAGAGAACTGTTTGATGCAGGTATTGGAGCTGTTGTGCTTATATCCCCAAAAGGGGCTGGGTGAAGGAGGTGACAACTGTGACGTGTTTTGAAGGCCTTAAACTGTGACTCTTGACGTGAAGAACTGAAATTAAAGCTGAACTTGAAGAAAGCAGTGGATTTTAACCCATAGAAGAATACTCCACTTACTGTTAGTTACGCAATATGTACTGCTATTTTCCTGGAAGGGAACGATTCAGCTCAATTTGTGTTTGACCCTGGCTAGCAGTTGTTTAAGGAGAAAAAGAGGTCCGTATGTGAAGGCAAAAAATAGTGCAGTCCTCTGCACCAGTGTTCCTATGTAGTAAGCGTTGGTTCTGGCTTGTTCCTGGGCTGCTGAAAGCAGGAGAGTTATGGAGAGGGTCAGGGACCTCAGAAGCAGTGGCAGCTAGAAAACTAATTTCCTCAACAGTAGGTGAAGAGGTCTTACTTGAATATGCCAAGAATTGGTGCCGTTCAAAAAATACCCATGGCAAAGTGAAACTTGCACCAAACCATCTGACTGTTGTAAAGCATTCTTTTTTTTTTTCCCCCAAATTCTATTCAGAAAGTATTTTTGCTACCCCCTAATGGTATATTATACTAAATGCATCCCCAGCCTTCCAATATTACTAACTTCGGACCAGTTTGAAACAGATCAGAGGAAAGCTGGAGCCTGAGGCTTTAGGCTAGCAGCCCCAAAGCCAATGGTGGCCCACATTTCCAGAAG